TGGGCAAGCTGCTAACTCGGAAATCAGAAAAGCTGGAAAGCTGAAATTTTAAGGGGATGTTCCTTACCCATGTATGTGTTAGTGAGCTGAAACTCAGCCCCCGGGTATGCGTGGTACCCACGTAGGAGCCCGTGAAAATTTTGTTAGGCTAAGTTGCTAGCTGGGGAACCTGAGAAGCTAGAAGACTGGAGTCTTAAGGGGACATTTCTCGCTCGCGTAGGTGTTAATGGGCTGAAACCCAACCCCCGCGTATGCGTGATACCCACGTGGGGGCCCGTGAGCATTTTTTTCGGGTAAGTTACTGGCTTGGGAACCTGAGAAGTTAGAAGACTGGAATTTTGAGGGGGTGTTTCCTGGCAGTTCTGGCGGCCAGTCTTAATCTGTCTAGCTAGAAACATTTGCCGGAAAAACCGGTGCCGGTAGTGACAAAAACTGTGGGGAACTGTGCAAAAAACGCATCTTCGCACGGGCAGCCCCTGCGTTGGCCAATTATTTTTAAGCCGACACGAAAAATCTAAGCGACAAGAAGAATCTTTTTTTGTGTTTCTTTTTAAAACAAAATGCTATTTCAAAGCAATAATAGGTGATATGCGGTGGGCGCATATTTATGTGTCTGTTCGCTTGACTTTTCAATTCATATACTATAACATGATGGCAGAGAGGTGAAGAGGGGAGGGGAGAGGAGGGAGGGGGAGGTTAGGATAAAAGGATGGGGAAGTGAATTGAGCTTTTTAAGCGCGGCGTTCTTGGTTACGTATTCTTCTTTTGACAGTCTTTTTAATAATTTCAGTAATTTTCAGAATGATGAAGGTAACGGCAGTCTTGTCCAGATTAAAGACGTGAAAAAAGCTGACGAATGTTTGAAAGCCGGTGAGCAGCATGATTTTCATGACGATGTGGAGTATATGATGAGCACTCTTTTGAACCCTTCGTCAACTGCCAACGTTAAATGTCTGAGGTTGTCGTTTTGCTGGTGCTTGATTTGCAAGATGAGTAATTTTTTAATTGTTCGTGAGACAAATTTGCATGTCATTGGCGCTCGCTTAAAGCAAGGCTTATTTTTTGAACCTTCTCCTGAGCTTAAATCAATCACTTTTTCTTCACGAGGATGCATAACGCAGCTCTCGTTATACATTTCCTTTTGTCGTTTATGTAAAAAGTTATTTTGGATTTGATGGAAAAGTTATATGCCCAATTGTAGCTCATATACTCGAAACCTTTTTACCTAATTTTAGAAATCTGTCGCACAGTTGACCGGCTTTTATCCGTTTTGTGCTGCAGCGGTTGCACGAAATATGTGCGTGTATGTGTGCAAGTGTATGTGTATATGTGTGCGTGTGTATGTGCACGTGTGTGTGCATGTGTGTATGTGCACGTGTGTGTATGTATGTGTGTGCGTGTGCATGTGTGTTTAGAATGTGTTTTATCTTAGGTTTTTAACTCAAGAACCTGAAGAACTAGGACGTTCGAAATCTAAGCTGCAGTTTCCTGTCCATGTATGCTCCAAAAGTTTTAATCCAGTTGTGCTTTGTTCTCACGCATGGGAATTTCCTCACTTTTACTTGTTTGTGTGTGGGACCGGTTTCTAGTTTCAGTGGGAAATTTTCGGACTTCAGAACCGAGCGAGATGAAAAGCCAAAGTTTTAAGAGTTCCTTGCTCAAGTACGACTCCAGAAATTTTCGATTTTGCTTCCACGTATGCCTGCATCTCAAGTATGGACACAAGAGAGTTTTGACCAGTCAAAATAATTCAATTTCTGCACATAATGAACTGTAAA